ACAGCCACCATCAAGATCGCTGCCTGTGATTGGTGTTCCATGGGTGACACAGACTTTTGAATCACTTTATTCAGGAAATTCACAACCGTGGGATAAATAAAGTCCATCCTTCATCATTGTCCTCACCTGTGTATCCGTTTCATGGCACAGGTTGGAGCCTATCCCAGCCTTCAGTGGGTGAGAGGTGAAGTTCACTGTGGACAAGTGTTCAGTCCGTGACAGGATGGACAGATGAATTGTGTAGGAAAGGAACATTTTCCACCATCTTAAAATAAGCATTTTTTAGTTTAAAAAGCTGAAATAGTTACAAATGTATCCAAATATTAAAGCTACAAATGAGGATACATCTGCAGTACTGTAGAAGTGTTCTTACTGGAGGCAGATGACGTCATAACCTACAAATAGCTGTTCTCAGCTTTAATCCGTATATTACATGTTTGTTTATAATATCAGCATTAGCCATGTATTATCAGTGAGACGCCATCTTTAATGACGTCTCCTGTAGGCAGCTCGGTCCTCGTGTCTTCACGCACGTCTCCTGAATGTTTTAGTCTAAATGACGCGTTTCGATTACGTTTCGTACGCTAACAGAAATGCAGAGAGATTTTTAGAGACAAGCTTTATTTTCACTCTTTAATGTTCAGTCTGTAATCTGTATTGGCCACCGTGAGGCTTGTTTAACCATTATTATAAGCTGCTGTAGATAATTTCATACGTGCAGTCAGAAGGTCAGGCCCTGGATCCACTCCATCAGGTCAGGAATGTGAACGGCTGCAGGAGCTCCATCCTCCTGCTTACAGTATCGTAGGGAGATTGTTTTTAATCTTAAACTACCAAAAAACTTTCATTTGTTCACAGAAAATGATAAAAATGATGTCAGCACTCAGGACCAAATCCTGCAGTTCCTCTGATGTCCACCAGAGACTTCAAAAGGACAAACATGTTTATGATGTTTGGTCTCCAATGTTAACTTCACCTTTAAAACTCAACTTAAATTGTATTAAAGCCTAACGTTTGCGTTATTAGAGGTGTGGCCTCTGACAGGTGGATGGGGACACAGGTAGCTCTAGCTGCTAGCTGTGTGCTAGGCGTCACCTCAGCTAACTGGAGTCCCTGAACTGGACCTGTGGACCGTGTTTGTGCTGTTGGAGCCTTTTTAATGACATCATCTGATCAAAAATATGGCTGCTGTGAGGTTACTGTAGTAACAGACCATTTATGGTTGGCTGGTACTAGCAGGAGCTTGCTAGCCAGGCTGAGTAGCATTAGCTAATAGCATATGCGCTTAAATCAGTTACCGTCACTGTGTCGGTGATTTGGGAACAGTCTGTGGTAACAACTACAAACACTGACTTTGAGCGCTATATAAATACAGGCCATTTACCATTTACTGACTAAGCTACAGAAACCAGAGGTAAGTTTATTCATACTTAAAAGCCTTATTTGTCTGTTATACTGTTTCTTTTAGTCCTGGTTCCAAGGCTCCTCCTTTTCCAGGGTCCATTTTCCTTTGGAGATATTCAGTTGTCCTTCTGCTTCAAGGTAAAGTTGGGCAAATCGATATTATCGGCACTGGTATTGGTATCGGTTAACGTGAACATCATTTCCTGAAGCAAGATTAATATGAGTAAGTATGAGTGAAATAAGAAAAAGCACATGCCGTTCACTTTAATCACTAACTCGTTTGGTCCATTGTCATCATTTCAATTTCAATTTCAATTTTATTTCTATAGCACATTTAAAAGTCACAAGTACAACAAAGTGCTTCACAAACGAACCATACTTGCAATTTACAACAGGAGAAAACAGTTAACAAAGAATAAAATTATAAAATAATAATATAAGAACAGACATGAATCAGGGAAAATTAAGCTAAGTAGTTTGAAAAGCGAGCTTAAAGAGATGGGTTTTTAACCGAGATTTAAAAGATTGGATAGTTTCCGACACACGGACATCAACCGGTAGGCTGTTCCAGAGTTTTGGTGCAGCGAAAGCAAAGGCCCGATCCCCCTTCGTCTTTAATCGAGACATTGGTTGCATTAGAAGCCCCTGATTAGAGGATCTGAGTGCCCTTGTAGGGATATATAGATTAAGAAGGTCAATCAAATAACTGGGTGCCAAGTTATTTAAGATTTTAAAAGTATATAAAAGAATTTTAAAAACAATACGGTATTTGACAGGAAGCCAGTGGAGGTCAGCTAGAATGGGAGTAATATGATCCTGTCTTCTAGCGCCGCTTAAAAGGCGTGCTGCGGCATTCTGGACTAATTGTAGGCGTTGAATAAGAGAGAGTTGGAGGCCTAAGTAAAGAGAATTACAGTAGTCCAGTCTAGAGGTTATAAAAGCATGAATGAGCCTTTCAAGGTCTTTATGTCGTAGGTAAGGCATTGCCTTCGAAATTTGGCGTAGTTGGTAGAAGCTGGTTTTTACCACTGCAGCCACTTGCTTATCTAATTTGAGGGAGCTGTCCAGCATTACTCCGAGATTTCTGACAGTGGGCGATAAGTGGCTGGCATAGGAACCTAAAGTCTCCGAAAGCTGTTTCAACGGCATGTGGCTACCAAAGACGATAATTTCTGTTTTGTTTTCATTGAGGGTGAGCGAATTATGCAGTAGTCAGTCTCTGACGTCACACAGGCAATTAAGCAACGGCAATAGCGGGGATTGAAGATCCAAATCCAAAGGGAAATAGATTTGGATATCATCCGCATAGCAGTGAAAAGAGATATTGTGATTTCTAAAGATTTTTCCCAGGGGTAACAGATAGAGAGAGAACAACGTGGGACTTAACACAGACCCCTGGGGAACACCGCAACGAAGGGGTGCGGGGGAAGAGGAGTGATTTCCCATAGAGACAGAGAAAAACCGCTCGGATAGGTATGATTTAAACCATGAGAGTACTTTGCCTTTAAGGCCAACTACATGTTCAAGTCTTGAAAGGAGAATATCATGGTCGACCGTATCAAAAGCAGAGGACAAGTCTAAAAGAACTAAAACCACAGGGCGCCCTGTATCAACAGTTACGAGGAGATCGTTAAAAACTCTCAGTAAAGCTGTCTCGGTACTGTGGTGAGGTTTAAAACCAGATTGGAATTTTTCATTGATTCCATTTGCCTCTAAGAAAGATTGCAATTGCTTGAGAACAATTTTCTCTAAGACTTTAGCCATAAAAGGGAGTTTCGATACCGGCCTATAGTTTGAGAGGACATTAGGATCAAGATTACTTTTCTTGATTACAGGTTGGATAACTGCATGTTTGAACACGGCGTTCAGGGCGTTTTTGATAATGCGAGAAGGGAGCACATCATGACGGGAATTGGAATTTTTCGTTTGAGCTATTATTTCCTTAAGGGTCGGAAAGGAAACAAATTCAAACTGTTCTAATACCGACGAGGGTTCAGATGTTAAAGATGTGTCCTCAATGGGTAGATATGTGGATCTTAGTGCTATAGTTTTATCTGAAAAATAGTTTAGGAATTTTTCACATAAAGCTTGGGAGGTCTCGGTCTGAGTGGAGAGTGGATTTATTAACGAATTAAAAATGCCAAAAAGGACCTGCGGCTTATGACTATTAGTCGCAATGATCTCCGAAAGGAAGGAGGCTTTTGCAGTTTTAACAGCCTTCTGATATTTCTTCAGACAATTGTGGAGAATGTCAAAGGAGATCTGGAGTTTGTCTTTCTTCCATCTCCTCTCCGCTTGGCGGCATTCACGTCGGAGGGTACGAGTATAGTCATTCATCCACGGTTGACGGAATGGTTTAAGGCGTTTGGTCTTTAAGGGAGCTACAGTGTCTAAAATAGAAGTACAGGTGGCGATGAAGGAGTTAGCGAGATCATTAACCGGTGTAGCTGTATCCCAGTTAATTTCGCAGAAGGCAGTGTTGGTCAGAGCCATAGAAAACTCTGAGTTAATCATGCGTATATTTTGCACAGGACCCTCACGTTTCAGCTCCATATTGCACACATTGACATTAAACAAAACCGGGAAATGGTCCGATATCCCAGGATTATAAATGTCCGTAATGCAAATGTCCAAACTGTAGGATAGTACCAAATCAAGCGTGTGGCCTTTAATATGGGTTGGTTTACTGACCCACTGAGTAAGGTTAAAAGAGTCTATAAGAGCAAGAAAGTCCTTGACCAGTGGGTCAAGGACTCATCTTCTTCCTGAGACAGCAGCACTCTGACCTGACCTCTGTGTGAGGTCTGTCACTCATCGCGGTGCTGATGCACGCTCAATTATCCAGGTAAGTAAATCCCAAAAGGTTGATTCTGTTCATCTGGACGTTTTCAGTGGGAGAAACATTTTGTCATCATCAGGTGACGTCTTCAGTCTCAGCTGACTGCAGGTTTCCAACATTATAAACAGGACATTTGCACAATGACTGAAACCAGCAGCACTGAAGGAACGTGAGGGAAAGACCATCTCTGAATGGAGGAGGGGGCCTAAGGGTACATCTGTCACCATCCTACAATGCTGTGATTGCAGCTTTTCCCCAACTCTCTGTGAATGGTACTCATGGTTATTGATCAGTGGGCTTTGATCAGTGGTCATGAGAATTTGTATATTAATGATCATGAACTGACCTCCCAGCCCGTTGTTCATCAGTGCTGCTGGTTTCAGTCATTGTTCAAATGTCCTGTTTATAAGGTTGAAACCTGCAGTCAGTTGAGACTGAAGACGTCACCTGATGATGATGAAACGTTTCTCCCACTGAAACCTCCAGATGAACAGACTCAACCTTTTGGGATTTACTTACCTGGATAATTGAACGTGCATCAGCACCGCGATGAGTGACAGACCTCACACAGAGGTCAGGTCAGAGTGCTGCTGTCGATGGTGTTCGATTTCAGAATATGGCTATTGGCAAAAGACTTCTTCAATAAATGTTCCCAAGACACACTTTAAGTACATCGTCATCACAGTGTTTAGATTCTGCTTTCTGACCTGTTGTCATGACATTAAAAATGTTTTTTGTTGTGGTATTTAGCTTTAATAATTGTGTCCTCTGTTGAAAAAGACAAGCGGGATATCATAAGGTTCTATAAGGTGTTTCAGTTGAGGAGCACTGTGGTGAACACTGGTTACTGCTGCCCTCTGCTGGTGACAGACGCTCACAGCACTTAAAAGGACCAATCGGGTTTGTTCTCTTTGTTTCATCTTTATGAATCAATAATAATATAAAGTTACAGTCTATGTAACAGCATCACAGAGTTTAATCATTTCACCTGTTAGTCTTCATTTTATTAACACCAGTCACACTGATAAAAACTGAACAGTGAGTAATAATCTATAAGTTTAATAAGTCAAGTTGAATCCTGTTGCACATGGAGGAGCATCTGTAAGTCTTTAGTCCATGTTTGTAGTCTTTCAAGAGAGCATTTAAGCTAACAGTTTCCAGTCATTGTGCTAAGCTAAGTACCATCCTGGAGGAGACGGTGTGGTTAGCATGCAGCCTCTTGCTGTGCAGAGGTCGCCGGCTGCATCATTTCCTCTGCCGCCTCCTCCTTTGCGTCTCTGATGGCGTGGTTTCCGAGGCAGGGAAACAGCTTTCTGATGGTGTGTCTGAACGGGGCGTTAAGGTAGAAGAAGATGAGCGGGTCGAAGCAGAGGTGGAGCACGCTCAGCAGCAGAGTGGACTCCTTCCCCAGAAACAGCCGCTTCTTGGTTTCACAGTCTGTGATGAGTTTGGTCTGGGCCAGCGTGTACGGCGTGCGGACCACGTGGTAGGGGACGAAGCTGAATACATAGGCCAACGCCACAGCCGCCACGCTTGCCGCCACCCTCCTGGCGTTCGCCCAGAGTTTGGGGTCGCTGCGGCTGCGCAGGAGCTTTTTGACAGCCAGGGTGCTGGAGATGAGCGTGGCGGCGGAGGCGTTGAGGAAGAGCGCCGTGCAAAGGAAGACCGTGAGAGCGTGCCAGTGAAGGCTGATGTCCTCCTTCAGAGAAGAGCAGCTGAGGTAGGTCTGCTCCTGCAGGAGCAACAGAAACACACCAGTCTGAGGCACAGTGTCACCTCCTTCTGCTCAGAGGACAAAACAGCAGCAATTTCCTAATGTTGTAAACCTGCTCAACATTTGGCAATAAAACCCTTTCTGATTCTGATTCTGATTCTGAAAACGTCTCCAATAGCCGCCGCCGGCCTGCATGGTGCACTTTAGACATGTGAATCGTGCACCTCCAACGGTCACAGAGGCTTTATTGTCAGGACTGTTGCCTTACCGTGACCTGTTTTATTGGCAGGGCCATGTTGGGCACCATGATGAGCAGCAGCAGCAGCCAGACGACCAGCGACAGCAGCCGGGCGAAGCCGACCTCCTGCAGCCGCAGAGAGCGCACAGTGTGGCATTCCTGCAGGAGGACACTCACATTTTTGTTTCTGATGTCTGAAAACGATTTCAATCTAAACACATAAGAAAGACCGCACGGTGCGTGGTGCCCACTAACCAGAGCGCTGCTTTTGAACATTTTTGGAGAGTACCTGCAGGTAGCGGTCCGTGATGATGAAGGCGAGGAAGGCGATGGATGCGTAGAGGCTGATGTAGATGGTGACGGCGCTGGCCTGGCAGTGGAACACCATGAGGTTCCACGGCGCCACCCCGAGGTCCTTCATGATCTTAAAGGGCAGCGCGAGCAGGAGCAGCAGGTCGGCCACCAGCAGGTTAATCAGGTAGATGCTGGCGCTCTTCTGCTGAGGGACACAAAAACATCTAAACATGGACACGGACTCAGATCATCAGCTCTGCTACTACAGCCACCTGTGCTGCAGCTGCCTTAATACTATCTAACCAGGTGAGTGTTTAAAATAAACTTCATGCATTTGTTGTGAAGCAGTTCTGTTGGACCTTTGAACATGCAGGACTGTGGGGACTGACTCACTGTCGGAGCCTCCAGTGGACATTAGAGGAACTGCAGTTCAGGAGAAAATTAATAAATTCTAACAAATGAAATTTAAAATGACCAAAAGCTCTTTGAATTTGTCCAGAACCTGTAGTTTGGGTAAGGTAGGAGTACTTACCCCACACTGGGGTAAATGTGTGTTCATGGGTGTTTTTAAGGCTGTGCTGAAGCATCTTATGCCCCATTTTCATTAGTACCTAATCGGATCGACTTGGCAACCGTTCGCCACGGTTTCCAGGGTTTTCCATTAGGTCATAGTCCCTGCTCACCCAGGCAGGTACTAAAATGTGACATCATCAGACTGCGTGCCACATATTGGCCGGTCAGAAGCGCCACTCGATGAGTCATGAGAGCGTCTCACTCGCAAAAATTAAAACTGTCATTTTTTAAAACTCGGCAACGAAGGAAAGCAGCAGGTTTATTCTTGCCTCGACGTCCTTTCTTGTAGCGTTCGTATCGCATGATTATGTCGCTGGCCACACAGATGCGTTGCTATGACGACAAGCACGCACACTGGGTTGTAATGGAAAACCGGTTGATCTGAGTAGGTACTGATGCAAAAGGGCTTTAAATCTGCCTTCTTTTTGTCCACATCTCCATCTGAGAGCTTTGAGCTCAGAAGAGTCAGAGGCTGATGGACGATTTCATTTTAAAGCTTCATTTTTAAAACCTCGACTTTCTAAATCTTCTTCTATGTCCGAGGAAAAGAGAAGCTTACAGTGAGTCACGGGGTCAGAGAAATCCTCATTCCAGCTCATTTCACCATAACTGACCACAAATCCTCTCATCACTTCTTCTTCTCTTATCTAATACGTGCTCTTCAAGCACCTTTACACTGTCATGTGACACCTCGCCACAGGACATTCGCCTCACTTTTCACCTCGTGTGTGACCTCGGGTCATCTCGAGTCGTCCTGCCTACCTTGGCTCTGGGGCTGCGGATGAAGGCCCACACTGACACCAGATTTCCAGGCAGACTGATGATGAAGATGAGGATGTAGACAACTGTGAAGGGTCCCATCTGGTCGTTGACGATGCAGGGCTTCTCCTCCGGAGCGCCGCCGGTGCTGAGATTGGTGGCAGGAGTCATCGTGAGGTGGCGCTCGTCGGGAGGTGAAAGCAGAGAGGCTGCAGGGCTGCTCACGGCGGCATTCACTGTCGGCCTGAAAACAGGAAGAGGATCCACTCCAAAGATTAAACCACAAAATCTCATTTGTATTACAGTGTCGGATGAATTCATCTCGCTCTGTAGAAACGCAGAGAGATCGATCGAGCACACGTTAAAAACGCACAATCACATGTTTTTATCTGTCTGCACTGAAAGTGTTGCAGTCAGTTTAAACACACTGGTTTCATTTCTTTCCCAGCACCTGCAAAAAATGTTTTTATTTCATAAATTATTTCACATATTTGGCAGTGGATTCATGAGAAGCATGAAAAAGGGGCCAGTTTAGGTACAGGTGCATAGAATAGAATAGAATAGAATTCAACTTTATTGTCATTGCACATGCACAGGTACAGGGCAACGAAATGCAGTTTGTATCCATCCAGAAGTGCTTTAGTGATATAGATATATTACAATATATATTAGCAATAATATAGATATGTGAGTATATTACAGAAATGGGTCTATTATGGTATGTTATAATGTACACGGTATGAAGTATGTTGTGAATATTCTATAACTATAAGTATGTACAGGCTGTAGTGAGTACAAGCTATGTACAGGATATGAACAGGATATAAATATGAAAAACTATACAGAATATGAAATAAATAACTTTACAGAATCTGGGATATACAGCTATACAGAAATGGGAACTATGCAAGTTGTAAACAGTTGTAGGGTTAAAAATTATCGAATGTACAGAATGATTATTTGCACAGAGCTATACAGTAGTGTGTAGGCAGGCATGAATGTGTTAAAGGGTCGGTGAGAAGGAAAGCGTGTAGGTTGACAGGGAAAAGTGGAAAGCTCTGCCGTAGGAGGGAAGCAAAGAAGAAGCAGGAAGGTTTGAGGTGGGAAGGAGGTGCTGTAGCTGCTGGCACGAGCCAATGAGAGTTTATCCTTTTAAACTGTGAGAGGTCATCGGCCAAGCAGGGGGCGGGGCTCTGAGAGATCCCGGCGTACACAAGTGGTTCACTCAAACTGTTACATGCAAGTTTGCAAATCTGCAGCAGCTGTGACACACACACACACACACACACACACACACACACACACACACACACTTGTTTTCATATCTTAGTGAGGACATCTAACTGACACGATGTTTTCCCTAGCTGCTCACCCTAACCATCAAGAATGAATGCTAACCATAACATAACTGTCACCCTGACACTAAAACCACACTCTGAGTCTCAAACATGCCTTCAAACTTGTGGGTACGGGGATTTTGTCCGCATAAGGGCTGTTGGTCCTCACAAAGATATGTAAACATGGTACACACACACACACACAGAGAGAGAAACAAACACATTGAAATCAGAGCAGCAGCACAGACACGTTTCTCTGCACAAACATTTACTCAACTTTAGAAGAATTTAAACAGCTGCTGCTGTAAACCCCACGTGCTGATCAGCCACACACAGTCTCATCTGATCTTAACTGACATGTGTCCGTGTCTGTGACTGTGATGTGACTCTGTGTCCGTGATGTGACTCTGTGTCCGTGATGTGACTCTGTGTCTGTGATGTGACTCTGTGTCTGTGATGTGACTCTGTGTCCGTGATGTGACTCTGTGTCTGTGATGTGACTCTGTGTCTGTGATGTGATGTGTCTGTGATGTGTCTGTGATGTGACTCTGTGTCTGTGATGTGACTCTGTGTCCGTGATGTGACTCTGTGTCTGTGATGTGATGTGTCTGTGATGTGTCTGTGATGTGACTCTGTGTCTGTGATGTGTCTGTGATGTGACTCTGTGTCCGTGATGTGATGTGTCTGTGATGTGACTCTGTGATGTGTCTGTGATGTGACTCTGTGTCTGTGATGTGTCTGTGATGTGACTCTGTGATGTGTCTGTGATGTGTCTGTGATGTGTCTGTGATGTGACTCTGTGATGTGTCTGTGATGTGTCTGTGATGTGTCCGTGATGTGACTCTGTGTCCGTGATGTGTCTGTGATGTGTCTGTGATGTGTCTGTGATGTGACTCTGTGTCTGTGATGTGTCTGTGATGTGACTCTGTGTCCGTGATGTGACTCTGTGTCCGTGATGTGTCCGTGATGTGACTCTGTGTCCGTGATGTGTCTGTGATGTGTCTGTGATGTGACTCTGTGTCTGTGATGTGACTCTGTGTCCGTGATGTGTCCGTGATGTGTCTGTGATGTGTCTGTGATGTGACTCTGTGTCTGTGATGTGTCTGTGATGTGACTCTGTGTCTGTGATGTGTCTGTGATGTGACTCTGTGTCTGTGATGTGACTCTGTGTCTGTGACGTGTCCGTGATGTGACTCTGTGTCCGTGATGTGTCTGTGATGTGTCTGTGATGTGACTCTGTGTCTGTGATGTGACTCTGTGTCTGTGATGTGACTCTGTGTCTGTGATGTGTCTGTGATGTGACTCTGTGTCTGTGATGTGACTCTGTGTCTGTGATGTGACTCTGTGTCTGTGACGTGTCCGTGATGTGACTCTGTGTCTGTGATGTGTCTGTGATGTGACTCTGTGTCCGTGATGTGACTCTGTGTCTGTGATGTGACTCTGTGTCCGTGATGTGACTCTGTGTCCGTGATGTGTCCGTGATGTGACTCTGTGTCTGTGATGTGTCTGTGATGTGACTCTGTGTCTGTGATGTGTCTGTGATGTGTCCGTGATGTGACTCTGTGTCCGTGATGTGTCTGTGATGTGTCTGTGATGTGACTCTGTGTCTGTGATGTGTCTGTGATGTGTCTGTGATGTGACTCTGTGTCTGTGATGTGACTCTGTGTCTGTGATGTGTCTGTGATGTGACTCTGTGTCTGTGATGTGACTCTGTGTCTGTGATGTGTCTGTGATGTGACTCTGTGTCTGTGATGTGTCTGTGATGTGTCTGTGATGTGACTCTGTGTCCGTGATGTGACTCTGTGTCCGTGATGTGACTCTGTGTCCGTGATGTGTCTGTGATGTGTCTGTGATGTGTCTGTGATGTGTCTGTGTTCAGGGCACTTTCTCCCTGCAGTTAAACAGACTTGAAACAGGAGCTGACACAGAAACAGGTTTACAGCCGACGGCTTCAAACACTCAGCTGCACTAAATTTCCTCTCACGCTCACAGTGGAAATCCAGCACGCCTACAATCTCAAACTCACAGGTTTTTGTCAATAAGTTTTGAAATCAGAGGAATCATCATGAAGCGCCCTGTTTGAAGTTTGTTAGAGCGTCTGGTTTACCTCAGATCTCTCACCATCTAAACCCTGAAAACGAGCAGCAGCTACTGAATCCTCCCGATGTGCCGACACAGCTGCTCCCAGCTGGTTTCAGGTCTTCTTCATCTTCTAACAAGCTCCCCTCAAACTTGTTATTTATGATGTTTGTAGATGTTTTCTTATCATGAATCATTTCCTGTTATCTACATTATTATAAGCAGCCACAAACCAGATGAACTGCACATCTTATAGAACATTAAACCAAAAGTTCTGGTTTTGAGGCTCAGTACATCAGCAGTTGTTAGCAAAGCATTTATAAATGTAACCGTCACGTAAACATAAAAAGGCTGAGAAGCTGCTTTCTATGTTTACATACGAGCCTCTGACCTCTGAGCATTTCTGCTTTTTCAGGAAAAGCAGCGAGCTGTGGCAGAGCCCGAGGTGTGAGACGGGCACACGCTGACGTGCAGGATGTAAAATAAGCTCTGTGGTCGCAGCAAACCTGTGTGAAGCAGGAAGTCAGAGAAAAGAAAGCTCGCGATCACGGGAGCTCATTTTCATGTCGAAGACACACAAACCGATGCAGATTCTGTGATGACAGCTGCAAACCATCAGCACGTATCCTGTCCTGGTGATAATCCTCTCAGAGAGGATCAGCAGGTAAGAAACATCCTGTAACGTCGAGTCAGGATCACAGATCTGCTGCATTTAAATGCAAAAACATTTCTTTTTGATCCCATCAAACCACCGAAGCTGAACTGAGCCAACCGCTGCGAGCTGCACACATGAAACAAGTTATTTCCACCTGCTTCTGCAGAAAAAGTCACATTTTAATTTTCACAAATCCGCCTTCCGTAATAAAACATCACTCGTGTCATATTTTGACTTCCAAAGAAGAGGACCGTTGGTCAGCCTGCTCACGTCCTTCAGTTTTCCTCACTCTGAAGGTGATTCTGTCCAAAAACATTCACTTTCTGCTAACGCTTAGAGCGCGGCGTCCTCCCTCCACGGCGCTCGTTTCTTAACGGTAACTAGACGTTAGAAGTTAAAGTAGGGTGACCAAGCGTCCTCTTTTTTTGCACTTGTTGACTTCTTGACTTTCACCATTCATTAACGGCACAGAAAAAGCATCATTTAAATATGTTAAAATTTTCTTTAAACGAAGTTTATCAAAGTCCTTCGTGACTGGGCCAAGTGTCCTTTTTCAAAATATGGTCACCCGAAGTTAAAGCCCGGCTGAAGCGGCTGAGCGTGGTGGTTGAAAGTGATGCTATCAGGAGGCCGCTGCTCGCTTCACGCCCCAAATCAAAATGGAGGATGCCAAAAAGCACCCCGGGGCGCTATGATGCCCCCAACACTCGCAGAAATGTGTTTTACCTTAACAGTTTTTCCCATGAGGGCCTCATTCGTTCTCATAGGTGGAACAGGAAGTCCTCGAAGTTCTCAGCCCAAACCAGGAGAACGTGGCCTCCAACACGATCTGACTTCCTCTCTGTCTGTGGCTTCACCTGAACACTGGCTTTTGTTCAAGCCTCGGAGGAGAGAGCGCTCGTCTTCAGGACTATTTTCAGCGGCGGATGAATCCACATTCTGTGAATATTTGTGGCAGAAGGACGACGCATGTGCACCCAAGTGAAAATAAACTGCGTTGCATTTTTCGTCCAAATAAGGAAAATAAAGCAGGAAAATTTAGACGAAGGAAATCGTCTGTACTGAGTCACACAAACTGGGGAAAATCAGCTTTACAGAAAGCGACACTGGGGGTTTAGCTTTCTTTGAAAATGAAGAGTCATCTAAAGGTCATGGCACTCAGACACCAGGGTTTGGGACTAGAATTTCCACCTGCAGCTGCAGTTGTATGATAAACAAGCAGAGGAGGCAGAAATGTCCAAACCCGTGTCGAGACCGCAGAGACGAAGCGGTGAAAGCTGAAGGAGAGAACCACGAGTCTCAAGATGCATTTCAGCATTTCAGCATGTGCCCAGGAACCTGCCGCTTTTGGATGCATTCAGTATTTTTATCCCCTGAACCTTAAAAAAGGAACAGCCTGTATATAAAAGAGGGACACCATAGTGTTTACACACTGGTTTGTATCACAAACGGGGTCCGGAGGTCCAGTTCAGGGACTCCAGCGAGCCGAAGCGAAGGCCAGCAGACAGCTAGCAGCTACCTGCCAGTCAGAGAGGCCACAGCCCCAATTATGCAAACGTTAAGCCTTGAAACAATCAAACAGGTGAGTCACGTACAGTTGTTGTGAGGAAATTAGCTAAACCGTTTCTGTATCAGGCTGTAAACATGTTTTACCTCACTGCTCGAGCCCCTGCTGGATGTTAGAGGAACGCAGCTTTTGGTTCTTCATTTGTAATCCTTTAACACAGCGATATGAAATATTGAGGAGAGGTTAGAAAATAAACCTACACGCTGTGAAATGTGTGAAAAGATTACCAAACTGTCACAGAGGTGACATTTCCTGTTGTAAATCAGTCAAACAACCCCAAAGACACACAAGCTCAGCACGAGAGGATGTAAAACCACCAGAGTGACACAAAAGCGACCACAGAGACGTGAAGTGATCAGACAGAAAACTACTGAAAGGAGACGACGAGACTCGAGGACGGGAGCAGGAAGAGAAAATGACTCTCAGATCACAGATCTCAACTCTGTTAGTTCATTATTTCACAGTGTGTGTGTGTGTGTGTGTGTGTGTGTGTGTGTGTGTGTGTGTGTGTGCCGGTCATCCATTTCACATGGTCCCCCTTGAAACAGACATTCCCACACAGTCACGATTGTTTCCCCTTAAAAACAAACCTGAGTGAATCTTCAGCTCCCGCCTCGTCCCCTCCCGGGCTCTCGGACCGCGTGTTGGATCCCTAAGGGACTGAGCGGGCCCTCCGGCTTCTCTTCGGGTCCTCTGTGTGCGTTTGATTCGGTGTGTCAGTGCAGATCATGTGCTCGGAGCTGCGGAAGCTGCAGACAGATGGAAGGTGTTTTCCTGCCTGTTAGCAACATGCTGCTGCTGTCGTCAGTGTGACCACAAGCCCCGCCTCCCTGACACACACACACATATATGCATATTGAAGGCGTTTCCAGCAAATGAGTTGTGAGTAATGATTCTTTACAGATAAATTTAGAGACTTCTGGTTTATCTGGCGAGGCTGATCGGCACTTATCAGCTTTTAGCAGAAGTGGGAAAAAAAGTTAAAGTCCACAGAAGAGAGGAAGGGGACGATGACGTCTCTTTAACAGTGAAAATGTCAGCTTTAGTGAAAGTAAAGAGTAACAAATGTGCTCTAAATAAATGGTTCGACGTCACAGCGCTGAGAGCAGAAAACCCCGGGCAGGCGCAGAGCGAGCGACGTCCACAGGTGAGGTCACACCTGCGGTTCCTCTGACCCGCTGCAGCTCATCAAGCTGTCTGTTTCTTTAACACAAGCACACACTCGGAGCTCAGCCCAGCAGAGCCGCCGTGTGATGATGTCAACACGGAGCAACGTCTCGCTCCTCGTTGGATGAGCCGCGATGAAAGAAAAGGGAAAAGCAGGCGCCCGGCCCAGCACGTCTGCGGCTATGAACAGAGACGTCCTCAGATGCAGTTAAAGACACGGGGTCCTGTGGACAGGTGGGCAGCGCGCACGTCTGTGTCAACGTGATAACTCAGTGAACTCAACTTAAAGGTCGGAGGTCAAGTTTTCTGAAAATCGAGGTGGAGAAAATGTAGGGTTTTCATACCGTAGCTGCGGGGAGGCCGAGGGTGAGGCACGAACTCCCCCCTGAGCTTTACAGCCTGAGCTGCACACAGTTTGCAGAGACTGTGATGATTAATGCTTAACCTCAGGAAGATACGCACAACTACAGCAGGTGTCTTAACACAGCAGCGCAAAGCTACACCGCTTGTGTTTGTTTTCATTAAGGAGGGAAAATGCACATAAACGAATTCATCATAGGAGCGTGTGGATGTGATGGATTCATGTGCGGTGCCTGCATGTAGATGCATGCAGATGACACTTAAAGGCAGTGGAAACATGTAAGCGCAGCCAAGAGCAGGAAGCACAATGAATGATAAGATGAGAGTCATAAACCAGTGTGAGGTCTGTGATGAAGAGAAAAGCATAGAGACAGTCAGGGCTGTTTGTGCTGCGTCCCTGCAGGAAGTGTCTGTCTGATGTGTAGGAGGGCAGGACGCGCTGTGATAAGTATCTGCAAACTGAATCACGGTTTCCCACGTTGTAAAAAAACACGCGGCAGTGCGCTGTGTGAATGAACGTGAAGGAGCGGAGAAACTCTGCAGACTTCCAGCTGCTTCACGCACAGATGAGAAAGCGCAGTTACACAAATGTCACGCACTCGCTGCTCCATCATTTCAGACGATTCTCAAATTGAATTCGTGTCCAGAAAAATGAGGCAGGCAGACTACGATAACAGGATGTGATGTCACAACATGTGCAGGACGTACTTCTTTGTTATGGAAAACAAATTAAAATCACCGTAAATAAACAGGAGTGCTGATTTCTACAACTAGGCTGGAAGTGCACAATAACATTTCTTTTAACTTAAACGTTTCTGTGCAAGACTCAGAAGAGAAACAGCGAAAGTTGTGTGTTGTGCGTGAAACAGGAATGAAGTCTCTGTGAGTGCACACACAGCAGCTGTGAGGCGAAAGCGCTGAAATCAGATAAAACGTACAAAGCGAAAGAAAACGAAGACCGTCTCCTGACCTGTCCCGTGAACACCGGCGTCGTGACGTTTATTTGTTTGCGGTCGCTTCGTGTATGAGAATATTTTATTGGTCAAAAAGGCTGCGGTGTGTGTTTGAAAGGACCTCACAAATGTCACAGATCAGATGTTCAGTGTTTATTTGCTGGTTTGTCGGAAGCGGCTCCAAGTCTGCCGCTGTCTGTTAGTCTGGGACCCCGGCACACAGCTTTCAACCCCCGCTGGGTTCAGCTCTCGGTGGAGGTGAAACACCGGCCCGGTCTGTCTGTAGGGTCACGCTTACGTCACTGTTTAATTTGGCTCAGATTAAAGTTTCATAACTTTAGTTTAATGTCTCACTGAGCACGTGTTCGACTGAACCATTCGCGCCAACTTTGAATTTAAACTAACATTAAAATATTTTTTACAAGGAAAGAAGAGAAGACGCTGTCCAGAAATGATCATCTGTTATTAATATGTGTTCAACTATATTCGCAGCACCAGCTGTCTGTTAGGATGACTGAAATAAAGCAAAAATAAGTAACATCTGATTTGTGTTTGTTTGATGTTGCGTTTAACTGTGTTAGAAACTGTGAAACACACGACAGAAGGAAACGCTGCTCACCAACGAGACGGAAGGAAAGTTTCCTTCATAGCTAAACATGTTAATAGCAAATCCACATTTAGTTTATAAATATATAAAGCACGTGTGCTTCAGCAATAGCCTGTTTATTTCAGTGCAGTGGGGAACCGTTCTTACCAGTTTGTCTTGGAGAGTCCACACCAGTCCAGATTTCCGAGGACACAGCTCACGTGGGTGTTATCTGCGATACTCCTAACTATAAGTTAACCAGGTCAGACAGTTCGTTCGTAATGAAAACGTAAACACGGAGTGCCAGCTGTTTAATTCACCGCAGTAACCATGGTAACCACGGACGCTGGGTGGATGTAACCCTCGTGTCTGCAACACATGGCTAAAAACTATTTTCCATTGTTTGTCCCACCAAACATCCAACCATTTAAAATCAAGGCGCTGCTGCGCTCTGCTGAGAAACAAAAGGTAAAAGTTGCGTTTAAGGTTTATTTATCCAACAAACAAAAGATCAGTGTTCGTTGTTTCCTGCTGCTTCTCCTGCTCTGGTACAGAACCACAGGCCCACCCGGTGCATGCTGGTCCTATACTCGTCCTGAGTGACTGTCAAAGAAAAACAGCAAAACTAAAGTTAAGCAATTATTAACCTACAAATAAAACTTGTAAATAACCCCAAAATATAAGTAAACTGAGAACAAAATTTAACACTTTTCAAAGTAATAAAATGAGAATTATTTTTGTCTTTAGATTAATTAAATAATTAGTTAAATATTAACTTAGTTATTGTTTTGCTTTGCCAGCGCACCTCTCAATGAAGTCGCTAGATGGCGCCGTGCGCTCGGGATAACCGAGCAGGGCTGCTGTGCAGGTGTTTAGCGCATGCAGGTGAGTGTTAAAGCAGCATGTAGCTCTGATGAGAGAGCGCTGACTCAGTGCGGAAGGTTTAATGCGCAGCACTGAATGAAAGTGGATCACATGATTCGCTGTGACACAGCCGGAGGAGCCAACGCTGCAGGGAGGTTAAATGGGAAGTGTAGAGATGCTGATTAGAGACGGCAGGTTTGCTTTGTGCGCCGTCTGCAGTGCTGATACTGATCATCGGTGAACTCTCAGTAGCTGTGCTCACGCAGGCCTGAACCTGAGGTTTGACTGAGAACCAGAATATGTGATTTACTCTCATATTCACGACCCAGAGTCTGTTCAGCAACAACAAGGCGGCCCCAAACCTGAGAGAGCAGCAGAACACAGCAGCTGAGCAACGTCTTCAGTATGTTAGAAAAACCTCTTACAGAGTCTGTTTCACCGGCATGAACATCACAACCCAAAGCAGAGGATGAGGCTGGCTGCACATGCAAACAGGGGGCTGTAGTTCCCAGCAGAATCAGTCACGGACTCAGCTTTGTGAAATCCGGTCTGCCATCAGGATCGGAGTGCTTGTGCCGGTGTTGTGCCAAAAAGTGATTGTCTGCCAAAAACTGATTTCCAATGTTTCTGTGTATTTTTTATGTGTAATATCTTTACATATGTTCGTAAATAGACTTCGGTGAACAGGGTTTACAAAGGGGTTATATAGAGAATTAAAACAATATCTGTTTTTCAAGTATCTTTACAACTCTCTGCTATTGTACTTACATTATAACCAATCCGGTCCTTTATCCCCACTTAAAATATTTTTACAGAACTATTGTAATATTTGCTGCCATTTCTGCTGTCCTCTTGGCCAACTTACTCTTACAAAAGACATTTTTAATGTTAATGAGATTTTTTTAACTGGATAAATAAAGGTTATATAAAAGTCACTGCCAAAAACTGATTGCGGCTTCTACCTTGTTACACGAATGTTGTTTGTGGCTCAATATGACTTTATGTCATCCATGAGGGATGCATTTGACATATGTTTCACCTATTATAGCCCAACAAGTTACTTATAGCAGTTTAAATACGAGCAATCAGTTTTTGGCAAATACCGGAAATCAGTTTTTGGCAGACAATCACTTTTTGGCACAACACCGGTCAGCGTCGACGCCTGCAGCCTGTTCTGAGTCGCCGTGAGGGTCACAGATACGTGGACTACGTGAACGTTTTCAAAGGGCTGATCTGGCCCACGAGCCACGAGTTGGTGAGAGACGGAGAGGAGTTCAGAAATAAAACAGCTGCACAGCTGCACGTGAGCATGGAAGGTTTTCTGGCACTTGAAAAGTTTATCAGCAGAGTTTTCAGTGTGTAAACACAGCGTGTGTTTACCCTGAATTAACTCCCTATGTGATGACTCCAAAAAGCCAGCATCAATAAATCACTGATATTATGGTTCACCGTGGCAACCAGCCAGAAAGATCCCCAGCTTACCTCACCCTGCACGAGCTGGGTGTTCTGCTGCATGCCTGAGGCGTGTACGTATGGATCTCGCTCTGGGATCAATTCAATCACTAAAGTCAGAAGTGGCCGAAGGCCGGTGTGCCCGTGCTGCACATTAACGCTCTGAGACTTCCTGTTTGTTACTGGTTGCTGATGCCTGGCGGAGAGTGCAGCTCAGGGAACCTGACACAGTTTTAACAGAACGATGAAGCTCAGCTCGATCGTTGCACATCAGTCCTTATTTAGTCCTCATCGGTCAGAGCGTACTGCTGGCTGCACAACAGCAGGAAACCCACTGTGTGACTATAATACTCAGACACATGCTGTTTGCTGACTTCCTGTTTGCACCTGCTTCAGCGTGCTCAACACAGAGACAGACCAGATCAAAAACCTGCAGCGTCCTAAATCCCCGGGATGATGTCACGTCAGTGCGGCATCTGTCACACTCTGACTTTAGATCTAAGAAAGGCTCCTGGAATCACACCCATGTGTGTCCTCCCAGCTGGTCTGAGTGAATCCTGGAAAACTGGTGCTGACGACGACGAGCCAGTAAAGGTCACGACTACATCGCCTCCTGCGGTGACGCTGAGTTTGTTCTACAGGAGCTAAACTTAATGCTGCGTCCACATCACGCAAACAAAAGAAGACGACATGAGCAAAAAGCAAAAAAACACATCGAAGAGTCTGCAGTGAAATTAAAAAACTGAATCCTGGGATAATAAAAAGCATCAGGCAGCTGTTTGTACAGCTGTTTTCCTGCTTGTCTCCTAAATGTCACCAATACCATTTTTGGAGCTTCAGATGATTGATCAGCAGCAGATATCGGAAACTTCAGGCCAGCAAGTCACAAAGTTTTCTGAGTTGAACTGAAGCGTGATTATGTAGACCGTCAGCCGTTTTTACCCCCCATCACTGACACGCTGACAGAGGCTTCGTTCCCTTTGCTGGGCACCGCTGTTGTACATGTCAGCTGTAATATTCTGCCTGTCGTGTCGCACCAGGCGGTTCTGTGCCCGTTAGCGCATAGTTGGTAAGGTTGTTGGCGTTCACCTCCATGCACGAGGGGGTGAACAGAGGCAGAAGGTGGAGTGACGCTCTGCTCACTGTGAAAGGTCTGAAAGGTGACTCTTTCCCCGCACGACCAAAGTGATGATGATGATCCTGAATGTGTCCAAAAAGCAGAGAAAGATTTCAGAGATGAAGCAAAGTAAAAGCTGCAAGCTCATTGTTTTAAACTTCTTTTTTCATTACTGCTGTGAAAGTGGTCAATAAAAATATCATAGCAAGCATTTGAGATGCCTTTGAGCGCTGTCTGATGTAACTGTGATCCAAACATGGGTTTCGAGGTCGGACAAACTGGAGAAAGTTTGAAGATTTTCACTGTTAAGTTCCTGAACTCTCAGAAGTTATGATGCATCTGTGCTTCCAGCATCTTTGTCCTTTTGAGCTCTGTTCATTTGGGGATTTACAATATAGAAAGAGCCAAACTTCCCCATTATGCTGTCTAATGCTGCAGCTTTCAGTGTCTGTCAGTCGTGTGGTTGAGGTTACCAGAAGAGGAAATGAAACACTGTTACTTCCCTTTAGTGAGAAAAGTCCCACCAAACTCCCCTCACATCATTTCACCTATAAATCCACTTCTTTAACACCTCTGAGATGACAACAGCAGCCAGATGACAACAAAAGTATTCCAGTCTCTTCCATGTCCACAGGTGTATAAAACCAGCACCTGCAGACTGCTTCCACAAACATCTGTGCATCGCTCTCAGGAGCTCAGTGAACTCCAGCGTGTTACTGTGATAGGAGACTACTACTACTAAATATTCCACAGTCAGCTGTTAAGATAAGACTTTATTGATCCCACGACGGGAAAATGTTTGTGTTGCGTCAGCTCAGGTACAGATAATACCAAAAATACAAAGAAAATACAAAGAAATGAAAAATAAGTAAGATAATACTGGGAAGCTCATCTCGTAACCGGAAGGTTGCAGCTCTGTCTGTCTTGGTTGTGTCCTTGAGCAAGACACTTCACCTGCTGCCTACTGGTGATGGCAGGTGAAGTGCCACAACTGTTTTAGATCAAAGATGTTACTGCACCATGAGAAAACTGCAGTTTGGTGAATGAGTTATCTTAACCAGCAGGTTAGTTGAATCTCCTCTCTGCTGTGTCCTCAGACTAGTCTGGCTTTAGTCATGATTTCTAACCTTGTGAAGCACCACAGCTGTCATGTATGTCATTTCAACAGACAAGGTCAGTGTGCGTTACTTCCCGCCCTTTTCTTCTGTTAATCATAATGAGATAATAATAATGGATTGCATTTATATAGCGCTTTACAATGCTACTATTCACACACTCTCACATTCACACACTGGTGGAGGCAGCTACAGTTGTAGCCACAGCTGCCCTGATATAATTAAAAGCTTTGTCCATCCTCTCCTGCTTATCCTTATCAGGGTCACGGGGGGGTGGAGCTACCACAGGTCGCCAATCTACCACAGACAACCGTTCACACTCACATTCATACCTGCGAGCAATCAGTTTTATAAATAAGCCAAACATGAGAGGTGAAAACCCGACAGAAGGATGGTGCAGCGGCAGAGTTCGCTGATCTTATCATTCAGGTCATCGCAGTTGTTTTTACTTTATCCTGTGTATAGAGAGCACTGCAAGGCAGCTGTTATTGTGATTTAGTGCTATTGAAACAAATAGACTGAAGCTGAATTAAATCGATTAGAAACAAAACAAAACACCAGGAGCACAAGTCCAGATATACAAAACTAAACTAGATTGGGCCAAACCATGAGTCCACGAAAAAGTTCGGGGGGTCGACCCGAAGGTAGACAGCACGGGACCAAAAACAGTTCAGGGGGCCGGCCGATAGCAGCCAAAACACATCAGGAGGTCAGCCACGCGGAAGGCAGTGGCGGCGACAGAGCAGGTCACGAGAAAGTTCAGGGGGCCGACCGTGCGGACGGCAACAGCAGCGACGCAGGTAAAGGAGACGACAGTGCTGATTCGGAGGCCGCCTACGACGGCGATGACGTCCGGCAAGAGGCCCAGAAAGTGGCCGCCGACGCTGAGGTGGCAGTTGGGGACCTGAAGACGGCGCGGCCCCCACAGCACCAGGCGAGGCAGAAGCTGAAGCAGAGGCTGGACCAGGCGTGGATGATGAGGGTGATGACGCAGAGGCAGGACCGGGCGAGGCAGGACCAGGTGAAGCTGTGGCTGCAGGCGTGGGTGAAGACACGGAAGGCAACAGTGTGGAAGCCGCAGGTGGTGGCGCTGCAGGCGATGGTAATGGCTGGACGGGCTCCTCGGACCCTCCAGCAGGGCCAGTCACAGGCCCAGTGGGCACAGGGGCCCCTGGAACACACAGGGCAGAACCAGCAGGTGCTGGATTGATGCTGGTTGGTTGATGCTGACTGGAGCAGAGTAACACCTAGGTTTGGCTCAGACAGCAACAGTTGGGTGCAGTCCTCGGCTGACTTCTTAGCCTCCAGGGGTCCAGAGTCGACTGCGGGTTGAAACGCAGACTCTGGGGAGGCCCTGGAGAGAGTAACTGTCTCTAATCGGGTCAGCTTTTGAGAAACAAAAACAGTCTTATTGGGTGCGTCTGTTTCACACGAGTGAGAAAAGAGGACTGCTCAGCAGGCGACTGGGTTACAAAAGGCTGAAGTGACGGTGTGGCAAGAATGAAACTGGTAATGGAGCAGATGATTGAGCTATAGGTAACGGAGTAGCTAACTGGGCAGCTGAATGAGCTGACGGTTGGAGAGTAGTGAACGTGATGCAGGGGGTGGTATAGGCTCCCCTGAGCCTCTAGGGCTGGGTTTTACTAGCAGAACGAGTTCAGAAGAAACAGTCCTGCTTAGGCTTCTCTGCTCAAAGAGAGCAGGACAAAAACAGCCCGTTAAGTCTCCCTCTCTATTCTTAGATTGCAAACCCACAGCATTATTAACAGATTCAGCAGTGCACCTCAAAACTGAATTCAAACTGTCCGAGGTTAATTCTGTATCGACTCAACAGTTCTTAGCAGGCTCCAACAGAGGACGATTTCGCGGCAAGCTCCTTATGTTGCAGCCGCCGCTGCTGCAAGCTCCCGAGCTTGTAACACCTCATGAGCTTCATGCAACTGGTCCATCAGGCCCATATATTCTCCAAGCTGACGCAGATGAGAATTCCCCTCCAGGATCGCTTTGATAGCGTTAATCCCAACCGCCATCACCTTAGCGTCTGTTGTGTGGGAAATCTGCTTAACCAAACATTGAATGCGGGAGAGATCACAGTCCTGGGACGAGCCCGCTGGGTCCAGGCTATGGTCGCGTCGTTCTGTCATGACTGTGTGCGGGCAGGCAAGGAGATAGGACCCAAAATGCAGGACTCGGAGGCAGACGTGAACTCAGAATACACAGCTTTATTGCTGGAGAAACGGAACAGAAACTAAACTAAAGATACAAAAATAAACAGGCAGGCAGATGGACCACACAGCTAACGTGAGGATGCGACACAACACTGACACGAAGAAACACTGGGCTTAAATACACTGAGGAAGTTATTAAGGAATTAGAGACAGAAGGGGAACACAGCTGGGAGGAATAAGACCTAATGAGACGGGGGAACAAAGCTAGAAACACTGACATGGAAGACAGGAACATGAACCTTCAGAGTAAAACAGGAAACAAGACACACTTTACCAGGATACGGACTCGACAGAGTGAGACAGACAAGACGCTGAACCGGCAATAATAACCAAATACAACCCGAACCTTAATCGTAATGCAGAAACATACCAGCATAACTGAAACACCGACTCATAATAAAAACCAACAAAGCACCAGAGAAACATAAAGAACAATCCATCATTCAAAAATAAACCAAGACATAAGCAACTCAAGACGCTGGGTCGGTCCGACTCAGGACCGTGACGCTCTGAGACAGGATATTTCTAACTTTAGAGATGTTGCGCAAATGGAAGAAAGCAGTCCTACATATTTGTTTAATATGTGCGTTGAAGGACATGTCCTGGTCAAAAATGACTCCAAGGTTCCTCACAGTGTTACTGGAGGCCAAGGTAATGCCATCCAGAGTAAGAATCTGGTTAGATACCATATTTCTAAGCTTTTCAGGGCCGAGTACAATAACCTCAGTTTGATCTGAATTAAGAAGCAGAAAGTTAGCAGCCATCCAGGTCTTTATGTCTTTAAGACATTCCTGCAGTTTAACTCATTGGTGTGTGTTATCTGGCTTCATGGACAGATAGAGCTGGGTGTCATCAGCATAGCAGTGTAAATGTATGCTATGTCTTCTAATGATGCTGCCTAAGGGAAGCATGTATAATGTAAACAGAACTGGTCCTAGCACTGAACCCTGTGGAACTCCATAACTAACCTCAGTGTGTGAAGAGGACTCTCCATTTACATGCACAAACTGGAGTCTATTAGATAGATATGATACAAACCACTGCAGTGCAGTACCTGTAATACCTACAGCATGTTCTAATCGCTCTAATAGGATATTATGGTCGACAGTATCGAACGCTGCACTGAGGTCTAGCAGGACAAGCACAGAGATGAGTCCACTGTCAGAGGCCATAAGAAGATCATTTGTAACCTTCACTAAAGCTGTTTCTGTGCTGTGATGAGCTCTGAAACCTGACTGAAACTCTTCAAATAAACCTCTGCAGATGATCTGTTAGCTGTTTGACAACTACTCTTTCAAGGATGTTTGATATAAAGGAAGGTTGGAGATTGGCCTATAATTAGCTAAGACTGCTGGGTCTAGAGATGCTTTTTGAGTAAAGGTTTAACTACAGCCAGCTTGAAGGCCTGTGGTACATAGCCGATCATTAGAGATAGGTTGATCATATTTAAGATCGAAGAATTAATTAATGGCAGGACTTCTTTGAGCAGTTTTGTAGGAATGGGGTCTAAAAGACACGTTGATGGTTTGGAGGAATTATTGAAGTTAACTCAGAAAGATCAATTGGAGAAAAAGAGTCTAAATGAATACGCCACCTTACAAATCAGAGCAAAACCTGATGTTTAATAATCCACATTTCACTGTGTTACTCTTTGGTTCAGATGTGGATACTGTATTGTTCTTTCTTTGTGATTGTTTAGGTTTAAGTTGTTTGTTGCTGGTTTTTAGTTTGTTTTTTGTCTGTTTGGGAGCTGACACAGTCTCTATGGAGATGGGTTTTTGGGGGGGTAGCAGGAGGAGAGAAGCTGCAGAGAGGCGTGTAAGACTGCAACTCTGCTTCCTGGTCCCAACTCTGGATAGTCATATTTTGCAGGGTTTAATAAATTTGTCCATATTTCTAGAAATGAGAGCTGCTCCATCCAAAGTGGGATGGAGGTCGTCTCTCCTAACAAGACCAGGTTTCCTCCGTACACAGAGAGCGTGATACTGTACAGCAGAGAGAGCGAACACCAAGCAAGAAGAGTGAAACAGATCATCTGTCTGCACTTTGAATACACTTAAACTCATAATTAATCTTGTTTTCATTGTTGTACTGATCATTTTCACTTAAGAAAACAGACTTTTTAATTCACACCTTCTAGGAGAATACTAACCTTTCATTTACAGTAGCTTGTATCTCAGTGCACACAGGAGTTATTCACAGTATTTGTAGCACAGAAATATAACAGCTCTGCATAGTACTGTTGGTGTGGTAGGCGTACAGTGACTGTGATGTCCTTTGGCCCAGGTTTATGTCAGAAAGGTGTGATGACACATGGAGGAAGGGCGTGGGAGGAAGAAGAGTTACAGAAAAAGCCTGTGCGTGTGTTGAAGTGCTATATTTGTTCATTTGCAAGTCAAAATTCAAACCTTTTCCTCCTGATAAAGAGGCCGAGGCTTTCCAAAGATGTTTGTAGAAAAACCCCTCTCGATGCAGTGAGTCATTGTTGCTCTGCCTGCGTCTGTGGTCTTATCACTGAGTTATCTGAAAGCTGGCGCCTGCATGAAACTGACTTTTTGGAGAGACTTGTGAAGTATCTGAATTTCAGGAGCAGGACCACGCCTCCAAACACGCTCAGGTTCTCACATATATAGGTTCCCCCAATTCTGCAAGCTGTTTGTTCTCATTTATGTGCCCCCCCTTCAATTCTTTAACTTCTATTTAGTGCATTGGGATCTGTCAGGCCCGGGAGCCGCCACTGGTCCCCTTCACCTTTACCTACTAAAACGCTGTCAAACCTCAAATGAGGGGCCAGCGAGTGAAATGTTTAACGCTTGGGAACAAAACCTTATTTCAGTGTGATAAATGTATTCGATTTATTTATATCCAAAGCAGTTTGCATACAAATTGTGGCTCTGGTTCAGGTGAACAATAACATAATGTACATATTTACAGTTTTTTAAACACATGGGTTTTTATGCAGTGGTTTTACGGGTCCAGTTCACCTGAGACCAAATCGGACTGCTTCCTGTAAATGAGCTTGAGAAGAGGCTAGTTTGGACGTTTTAAAGGTACATCAGTGCAGGAGGAGGTCATAAAATGTCAAAACCTCTGAGATATGTTGGCTTGCAGTTTAGCTGTCCATCAGGGATCATTTATATTCACAGACTTAAAGAAGATAGACGATAAATAGTTGCTAAGTGATGAAATTCCTCATCTATTAAAAAATACTTCAGTGTACTGACATGACTTTTCTTAATATTTAGGCCTTTGATAGCAAACAGGAACGTTTCAGTGCAGGTCTCTGAAAAGCCCGACGTGGTACCACCCCGTGTCCTGAAACAGCTGGTCCCAGCAGGCAGCTTTGGCACATAGTTGCAGTTTTTAAAGCTCACATTCATCACAGTCGTTCGTGTGCTAGCTTAAAGCTACAGCACGCTGGTCCTTGTCGTTGGGGTGAGCGATAGCTTCCTTTTGATGGAGCTCTGCGTATCGCTGCTCCTCCTGTCTGCGTTCGCTGCGACCGTTGACACCTCTGGAGTGGCTAGTGCATTCTTGAGGCTCAACCTGGCCCGGAAGGCCTTGCAGAAGATGAAGTAGATGAGCGGGTCCAGGCAAACGTTGAGAACTGACACAAAGACCGCCATTTCCTTCACGTAGAAGAAGACCTGGCTCCACGAACAGTTGCTGGTCTTGGATGTGTAGGCGTAAGGAAGACGAACCAGGTGGTAGGGGACAAAGCAGACGCAGAAGACGCTGACCAGCACCAACATGTTTCTGCGTGATCTGGCGAGCTTCTTGGACCCGATAGACGCAGGCTGCTTCTCCTGTGCCACTGAAAGCTTGCGAGAGGTTTTGTAGTAGAAGAAAACCAGGCAGACGAGGACGGTTACAAAGATGGTGGCCGAGAAGACGTGGATGATTTTGTAAAGCACGTTGAGCTCTTTACTGTGCATCTCATCACAGCTCACTTTTGTTAGTGTTTCATATACCGGCTTTTCTGTTATAAGAGAGACCAGGATGTAGGAGCTCGTCACAGTGATGAGGAAGACCCAGGTTAGGATGGATGTTATCTTAGCACCTCGTACTGTCTGCAGCATGTGATTTCCCAAAGGGTGGACGATCTTCAGGTACCTGCAGGGAGGAGAGAGCTATCAGTGTGTGAGTCAAACCAACTCTTTCACCTCCTGAAAACCAAAGACTAAGCATGTTCATCCAGTGTGGACTCATGTTCTCCCAGCCTGCACTTTCCACCGTGTCTGCAGCCACTGCCTGTTGGATGATTATGCCCCAAAGAAACGCTTTAACCTATAAGCTTTACGCACAAAGACTTCCTCTTCAGGAAGGCAGGAGGAGAGGGAGCATTTCAATGAAGACAGGAAACCCTTTATTCACAGGGACATGGCTGATGATTGACATTTCAAAGTAGACTGATAACTAGATTCTAGTCTGTTCCCCCAAAATTTGAAAACTACTTCATGTCCAGAGTTGTTTGGACTCACACTGTTACCAGATCCAGATCTGTGTGATTCAAACTGGAGCCGCCTCTTATTAAACTCACTGTGACAGGGATACAGCGCTGTATGGGTTCACTGAGTCTGACAGGGGTGTGAACACGTGATCTACCGTATTTGTCGGACTATAAGGCGCGCTTAAAATCCTTTAATTTTCTCAAAAATTGACAGTATGCCTTATGTATGAATTCTGGTTGTGCTTACTGACCTCGAACAGATTCTATGTGCTACACGGCGCTCAAACATCTGTCGTAGGCAGGAGCCTGGAGGACATGGAGGAAGCACGAAGAATGAGTTGAGTAAAGTTTGACTTATCTGACTGTTTTGTTTCGCTGAATGCGCCTTATAATCCAGTGCACCTTATGGTCCGAAAAATACGGTAATCTGGCTGTTTCAGCTTTCCTGGGTTTGGGGTTTTCCATTGGTCCGTCTCAGAGTGGGTCTAAAACTTTTCAGGTCCAGCAGTAACAGCCGAGATCGAGTGGAGATGCACCACAGTGGTTTAAGCAAAGTCAACAGTACACAAATGTTAAATGCAGATGCACCGATGGTGGTGTTTCACTACTTAAATGACCCTTTTGATGTGTGCGTGTTTGTGTAATGTGTGCAAACGTGCTGAGTCCGTGATGAACTCTGCTGTTGATTTCATTCTGCTGCTTCAGCTCTGACCACGGAGGCAGAAGTAGCATCGAGACCACATCCTTTGCTTTTCAAACACGTATGACAGTATCCTGCTGATACCTTTGTGCGGCTGCAGAGACAACACGCAGCGTCGCACTGGCCGCCCTCAGGTGAACTGACAGCTGCTAGGATCAGGCTCATGTCTACATCTGTACCTGTAATTTCCTCCTGTTTAGCTGAGAAGCCAGATGAACTGTAGCCACATGAGTTCATAAAATACATGGTAGCCCTCCTAAGTGATTCACTGCTCACCTGGTGGATGTTACAAAGTCTTACGATCCACCTGCTGAGCACCGCCCCGCCCAGGATCAGGTTAGGGTTGTATTTTTGGACTCCCGGGTACCTGGAGAGGTAACGCGCAAACGCCACACTGGATTTGAACCCTACTCATGCTGCTGTGACCTAGTTCTCGGGCGATGGCACTAATCGCCGCGGCGCGCCTGCACATCGTGGACTGTTTATGGTTTTTACAAAAAGAATCTGTCATGTATGCAGGTGGCACTCAGCTCGGTGCCATGACCCGAATAAAAGCCAGACAAACGTAACCACGTTCGATTTCCTTGAAATTTAAGTTGACACAGAGTGATGACAATCATCTACCACAAGATAAGAACCCACATCCCATCGGCTGTTGGTGCGCTGAAAATGTTTACAGCAGACACAAACGTGTTACAGCCTCGGCGTCGTCATCTCGCTCAGCTTTGTTTTGGATTGTTGGGGATTTTTTGACTTTTGGCGTCTGTTTTCGTTCCCTCTCTGTTCCCTGTTTTTTGTGGTTTTTTGTAGTTTTCTTTCTCTCCTTTGAGATTGTCTCCACCTGTCCTCTGTTCCCTGCTGGGTCTCATCTGATTATTTAAAGTCCTCTCTTCTCTCTAACGCCTGTTTTTTCCCTGCTTTCGCATGTTTGCCTCAGTTGTGTGCAGTTCTTTGTCGGACCCCTGGAGTGTCCTGATTACGTTCCCACCTGTTAGCAGCGATGAAGCCCATGAACATGATGCTGGCGTACATGTTCAGGTAGAAGGCCGAGGCACCGAAGTTGCAGTAGACCTTGCGGATGATCTCAGACTTAATGTTGGCGTACTTCATAATTCGCAAAGGGAGGCAGAGGCTGATGAGGAAGTCGGCCGCTGCCAGGTTCTTCAGGAAGAGGGTGACGCTGGACACGTGCCGCTGACCCCTGAAGAAGTAAACGTTCAGGGTGAAACCGTTGAGGAACAAACCGACCTGCAGACACGGGAGGGACAGGAAGGAGGTTTGCATCATTTAGTCAAAGTTTAATATTTATTTTCTGCCACATCATGAAGACAGAGAGGACAGCGACTCACTAGAAACACCAGGGTGTAGATCACCATGAAGAAGATGTGGGCTGAGGTGTCCTGGATGTCTTCATAACAGCTGGAGTTACTGTTGTTGTTTCCGGAGGGGTCGAAGGTCGAAGCTGCCATGTTTCCAGGTCTGGAAAGACCAACCCGGGTTAGACGGCGGTTAAAACAGAGACGGTCACCACGGGAACTGCTGAAGGCTAAAAGGGAAGTGGTACAACACATGGTTACCAATCGTGCCTTTTTCAGGAGGCTGCTGCTCTCACGCCACCTGAACAAATGTGATGCTAAATAAGAGGAAGCTTTTAGTAATAACCAAAACAAAAACTTGTGGTGAAAGGCGGCGAAAATCACAGACGGCCAAAGAAACTGGATATTTAAAAACAGCAACAACGCTGATGCAGAGGAAACAGAGGTAACTGGGATTTTTCTAATACAGACCTCCATCCAGACCAGATTCAAACATGTGAACATAAATCACACCGTGAACAGCAAACGGATACAAAGAGAAACTCAAACTATATGCATGCTGAACAGGTGAGGAGAAGCTGACCTGCTGTAATGATATTTCATCATTTAAGCCATATTCACACAGGACAGCTCCTTCCTCCCTGCAGCCGTCAGACTGTACCAACAAACAGATGTTTACATCTGCGCTGCAACTTGCACTATTTTATCAACCGATTCACACTACAACCAGGGTTTGCCTCTTAACTGTATTTAATTTTATTTTATTTAATAAGGGTGCAGGACTCTGTTTTTGGTAACCATCGCCCTCGATGTAAATATGTAAAAACTGTGTATGTTTCTGTCCTGTGTCTTGTGTACTGTTTGTTTGTATTTGTGTCTTTCTGGCTGCTGTGACACCCACATTTCCCCCCAATTAAAGGATGATTCTATTCTATTCTATTCTATTCTATTCTAACATTGTTTTAATTCCATATTAACGTGCCCACACACGCTTTTTTCTAACATTTGCAGATACTTATGTTAATATTTGACACCAGGTCTTATTTTTGTGCTCAATAGTGATGACATCACTCGACCGCGCCTGTGATTAGAAAGAATGATGCTATGATGCCGTCTGGGGCGGCGACTCTACGCCACGCACTGTGTGGATGTGGAGAAACGTGCTGTGGTCGTCCCGTAAACTCCTGCGTCACACATCAGCGACGCTCTTTTCACCTCTAAAAGGTCACTGAGGGGTTTTTTTATTTACAACATGATTAATGTGACGTTTCTGTTTGACCTGAATCTGATTTTTTACCTTATCATGTTTATTTATATCAAACCATTTTTAAATCCTGTGGAGGTGCGGCTCAGATTCTCACCACAGCCCAAAACAGTCACATCATCAGCAAATGAAAGTCACTTTAGAAAACCTTGTAAATATCATTGATGTGTGTCATAACCCGTGTGGTAAACACAGAGTGGACGTGTTTCCAGAACCACAGATTTGTTTCCTTCGGTGTAATTTCTCATCTCTTCTGTGAGATGTGTTGGCGGTTGCGTTGTACACCTGACACACCTGCACAGTGACACAATGGTCTGTCACTGCAGTTTTTCTGCGCTGCAAACACGGCCTCGTAGCTGTGCAGCAAACAGGACAGCTGACAGCAGCAGCTGCGTTACTGCACTCGTCTCTGTCAAAGTCAGCAACATGTGGCGTGATGATGATCATTAAATCACCTGTGCCTCTCACAGAGCAGCGCGTCTCCTCCTGACGATCACAGCGGCTCAGACTTTCCTCCCGGAGGAGGAGGAGGAGGGCTGTCGGTCTGATCTCCTCATCGATGCGACGATATGTGACCTCACAGAACCGATCGCTCTTATCTTTTCATCGGCCCGTCTCTTCACAGGTCAGAGACGCAGGAAGGATCCTGCTAGACTGCGTTGACCTACTTACTATCATGAGCTTATCTGACCTCAGATCAGCACCCGTCTGTGCTTTTATTGCACAGTGTTTGTTTCATGTGTTCCACTTTTTTAATGATGTTGTTGTTACTGAAGCGGAAAGATCACTGCATTCACACGATGACGGGCAGGTGTGGGAAGTTTCGTGAACCTAAACAGAAGCCGGCTCATCTTCATAGCCTGACCCCGATCACTGACAGCATCGTAACCAAGGCCTCCTCCTCCACACGTTCCATCTTCTGTCCTTACAGGTCGTTACGTCTGCAAAGCCCCGGCCCGATAAACCAGGACCAACATATGTCACGGTAAAGCCCAGGAGCCGCCATGAGGCCAGAGGAAGTCCCGCTCTGCCTGCTTCTACTGGCCTTCACCACGGCTCTGAATCCTAAACCTCACACAGTCACGTTTGCTGTGTGGCAGGCAGGAGAGTGGACCCAAATGCAGGACTCACAGGACACAGAGGAACTGAAGGAGGCAGCTTTCACTGCGCTGTGAAAAACTCAAATACAGGAAACAAGAAACAAAGCATAACAACTAGAAGCTGGTAAACCAAGGCCACAGGAAACGAGGACCACGGAGGAAACACACAGGAGACGTACGACACGACAAAAGAGAACACAGCGCTGAAATACACAAGGGAGCAGGAACCGGAAACAGGAGGGAAGCACAGCTGGGACTAATCACACATAATAAGACGAGGGGAAGCAAAGCTAGATACACTGACATGAGACTTTCAAAGTAAAACAGGGAACACAAGACTATCAAAGACACTGACGAGAGCTGAGACATAGAGACACGACGGTCTGAGGAGACAGAGGGACTCTACGAGGGACACGGGGAAGACAAACAGAAACTGAGACTGTAACACAAGCAGAACCAAAACCATGAAAAAGAATGAAAGAGAAAATAAATTAACCACAAACCACAAACACTGAGTCAGAACACTCAGGACCATGACACACAAGTCTGATATGAACCTGTGAGGGCTGCAGAGCAAACACCACGGCAACAGGCAGCCCCGTATCATCATCATCATCATCATTATTCTAGAAGAAGGGATGATTGATTTCTCCACAGAGGTCTCCCTCCCTCTCTGAGCAGCTAATATAAAATCAGCTGATGCTGAGGTTTCACTCGTGTGACTGAGAGGACCGGCGGGCCCACACCCCCTCTTAAACTCTGCAGACCTTCACACACTCGAAATCTGAGCTGATGTTTCACGCCTGTTGATGTGGCCGTTCACACCGACTGTGCAATTTTGCAGGAGGAACGTGAAACCAAACTTGAGTCTTCAGAGACGAACAAACACATCTGACCAATCAGGTCACTGCATTTGGCAGCAAATCAAAAGCCCATACTGAGTACAGCATAAACAGGGAAATAAGCGAGTTTGACCTCAGACAAACGACTGCACGCTGCTCTCAAACTAGTTATCAGTTTCATCGCTCGCTGTCCACAATCGTTTTTTCCACAGTGGGGTTTTTTAGGAAAATGTTCAGCGAGTGTATGTAAGTCGATACGTTTCCATTTGAAGAATTCAGCCTGTAGTCTACGCTCTGACCGAGGCGTTGGCCTCACGGATGTCGATGTGGGCTTCGTGCTGTCGGCCTGTTTATCGCTCTGACTTCACTGCTCTGTTAAACGAGGGCTTTGGGTCCTGTGCGTGGCCCTGAGGGCTGAAACGCTCGTGTCTGTGCGACAGGTCGACGCCGTTTTCTGTTTCTAATCGCACAGGTGACCCTGCAGGACTTTCAAACTAAGGCTGAAACAGCAGACGCCATCATCTGCATGGTTGGGGCTGTTGTTTTCCTTACAGGTGTTTCCAGTTCAGGTATGTGTGGTCATGTGACGCAGCTGTTGGCAAACATGCAGAACTCGCCCTGTTTGTCCCTCCACGCTAACGTTTGTATTTGAACACACAGTGGCTTTAAAGTAAATGAAACCTCAATCTGTTTGTGATTGTGACTGCAGATATTTCCAGCTCTGACGTTTCTCTCCTGACCAATCAGCTCAGTGCTCTCTCTGCTCTGTTACATCAGCACCGCGAAGCTGCAGCTTGTGGTCACAGCGGCTTAGTTACAACAGTGCGACCCAGTTACAGAGAAACAGCAGCCACCGCTTATCGAAACTTCATGAGAATCTTTTTATTGGAAAAGAAAACATTGTTTAAAAAACTATTTCCAGATGTGACACATCAGCAGCAAAGTTTCACACGCAGAGAGGGTCTATTTTCTCTGGTGAAACCTCGTTCTGATAGTCGACTAATCAGATCATCATCCATTGGAGGTAAAACGTACAGCTTATTGCACCAGCAGCATCTGCTCTTATATAACTATCATTAGCTTACAGCTTTAAGTGTTTCAGGTCTGTGCTAACTAAAAATAAAGACAAGATGATAGTTTATTAAATTTTAATGAATTCTGCAGATTGTTTCGGTGAAGTTTAATAAACTCCTTGCTATCTAAAATATAACAGGACACCGGAGTAAATTCTCGAGCATCTCACACTTCTGATAATCAGCTGTCTGCTTGACGTTTATTCAGCTGTGTAAAAACTATAACTTTAATCTCAGCCAAACCGATTTACTCAGGAACAAATAAAATACTAAAAAAGCCAAACAATAACATTTGTAAGTTATCTAAGTGACTCATATATCATGTTTAACCTGAGTAGCGAAAGACGGCGGTGGGTTTGAAAACGATTTGCCGGGAGTCCGGTGTTCTCACAGCGCTAGTGAGCTTTGCCCCCGGCTAGCTATCGAGCTAGTGGGTAACAGACGTCTCAGAAAACGTTGGAGCGCTTTTGAAAATATGTGGTGTCCTGATAAACTGAGCAGATATTTGAGGTTTACACAGCTACATTCTCGCCTGAAAATATGTTAAACGTTTATTTTATGACCCAGAAAGAATAATAAGAGTAATATTAAAACTAACTAGCTGCCGCCATTGTTGGAAGCTGCGCTGGGCTGCGCTATGAATTCTGGGACACAGTTTCTTCTTCTTTGTGGTTTAACGGCAGCTGGCATCCTTGTACATGCAGTGCTGCCATCTTCTGTTTCAGTCCGTTATTACACTCTTAAATCCTGCTACTTATTCCTGCGTCTTTTGGGATCTTACAAAGCTTCAAACGACGCGTCGACGATTTTGATAGTCGACTAATCGTGGCAGCCCTAGTCACAACGCTGCGTCGCCACCGGTAATGTCTCCCAGAAGACTCACTGACATGTCACTGACAACTAAACCTGTCCTCAAACATCACTGTGGTGTCTGTGTGTGGTCGACAGGGAGGATTTGTGCTTCAGCAGGAATCTACGCCGTACCTGCGTGAATCCGTCTGCACCTCACGAGAGATGCAGGTACACGTTGGGTCGACGCAGCCCGCAGACCATCCACACTCCGCTGCATTTCCAGCTACTTTTTCAACCACAGATTTCAAATGTCAGTGAGAGGTCAACAATCATGGTCTCAATATTAGAAATACTCATCACAGCATCAGTATAAGGACGTCAGCCCATTCCCAGAGGGAGATCAGACTGTCGGTATGGACGTGAGGGAAAAACAACAAAGTGGAAAATCCTGAGGGACAAATGTTTGACCACGAAAATAACCAAGTACAAGACGTCCCAGCGTTTCATGTTTTTGTTGCACATTAAACACCAGCACGAGTAGAAACGGCAGCCGTGATGTCGGCCACACTCGGTACCGAAGTGCAGATCAGGCCCGACAAGCGGACGATGGGAGGAGGTCGAGGGTTGCTGTGGTGACCAGTAAAAAGAGCGTTGCGTCAATCTGCCACAAATTCACATCAACTGGCCTCATCATCAAAGAGCTGCGGTGCAGTCCGCCATATTAGAAGCTTTCAGTGAGCAAACAGCGTGTAGGGTATAAATCACACCCAGACGGCGTGATGCCTCGCATCCACTTACTCCAGCACACGTGTCTCCAGACCGGGGAGGGGGGCGCCAGAGAGCCCTGATGGGACCCTCACAGCCACGGGGACACCTTCTTACTGTGAGGCGACAGCACACAAACGCAGCCAATAACCAATCAGTTACCTCGCAGCTAAAACGCTCACATCCATGGTTCTCATTAATGATGGACAGCAGAGGAAAGCAGATGTTTGGATGTTTGCACCTCTGTGCAGCCTGCAGGCCAGGAACCACTGAACCACATTAAAGATGCCACCTGTGAGACACAAGCTTGTGCGCGCCGCGAGCAGTGAAACTAATACCAACAGGTTCTGTGTAAATATAGCTGCTAATCACAGCGTTTAAAGGCCAGACATGTGACATGTAAGCATATCGGTGAGGTGGGGTAGAAACAGCAGGCTTACCTGCAGCACTGTCCCGTCTGCGCGTCTTCACGGAGAATCTGTGAGAAACCCTTTATGACTTCCTTCTGCACAGTTTATATGAGCAAGGCCAGGCCACACAGAGAGAGGGAGGGCGGTGGAGGAAGCTGGTGGTTGCTGCTGTGCTGACGTCCTGCATGCAGCACCGTTCCTCATTTGCAAGTCAAAAACACACACCTATTTTTACCAGGAAGTTTTCATTTTTCCAGAGAACTTTATTTGAAAGAGCTTTGCTCTGAGCGGGTCTGTTGTGTGCGACACTGATCCTCTGAAAACAACAGCTGCTGGAAACAGACTCAGTCAGACACACAACCCAGAACCAGCAGGTAAACGCGGCTAAAGGTTAACCAGCAAGCTTTAACACAGATCAGAGTCGACTCGTAAATGTCCCGTGACTCACAGTGTTCGTGTTTTCTTATTTTCAATCTGCAAACTTAATTCTGTTTCTATTCGGCTTACACGAGTGTTGAGTGTGAGCTGGGAGTGCCTGTCAGTTATTCAAAGCCGGTTCTGGGTCCAGCACATGTGTCAGAGGAAGCGCGACATGTCGCTGCTTGTTGAAGGTTTCTGGTTTTTAGCAGCAGAGTGAGCGCGTGCTGTGTTTTAAACACACAGCGCTGCGTCATGTGATGCATTCACCTGTTTTAAAGGATTACGGTTTGGTTTCAGGTCTTGGAGCTTCCTGGAGAACCTGCTGCAGATTCCAGACTGATGGTGTTGCTATGCTGGCCTTCAGCCCAGGAGGATCTGATTAGGAAATGAACTTGATGGCTGAATACCCATAATGCTCCTCCCTGTGAGACATACGAGCTGTGCAAACAGACACTAGTGCAGGACGGTGAAACCACAGAGTGTAGATCAGATTTCTGGTTTTAAATTCTATTAGGAAGTGCTGAAGGCTGGTGCGAGTCCAGAGTTTACATCTGCTTTTGCAGCAGCTTACTGGACTCAGTGTTTTCTCTCTGTATCTAATTACAGACTGGTTCAGATTTCACAGCTGTTTTGGACTCGTATCTGCTTCATCCTGTTTTCAGATTCCCTCAGACTGGTGTGGAACTTTGGGATGGTTTCACATCCTGTTTTGGAGCATCTGCGATGACTTGCCACCGTGGCCACACCGGCCCTCTGTATTCCCAGGCTGACTCCAGGGCTCAGTGTGTTTTTGTTTTGTTTTGTTTGTTTGTTTTTCGTTGTTTCCAGTTCATTTGTACTGTTTCCAGTTTAGCCTCACTTTGGCACAGATTTTGGACCAAACTGAAGTGATCGGCAGCAATCTCCCACACCAGCCTATTAACCAACCAAAGACCCAGACAGACTTTTAATTCATTTGAGAGCCTGATGCTTAGCCTCGTCCACCCCAGCTGTAAAACTCAGAAACCAGTCTTACTTGTTATCATCTATCGTCCACCTGGGCCTTACACAGAGTTTCTGTCTGATTTCTCAGACTTTATATCTGATTTAGTTCTCAGCTCAGATAAAATAATTATTGTGGGTGATTAGACTCAATTGGATTTTCTCAAAATGTAAAATCACACTGGAGATCACAGGTGTCGAACTCCAGGCCTCGAGGGCCAGTGTCCTGCAGGTTTTAGATGCGTCCTTGAACCAACACAGCTGATTTAAATGGATAAATGACCTCCTCAACATGTCCTGAAGTTCTCCAGAGGCCTGGCAATGAACTAATCATCTGATTCAGGTGTGCTGACCCAGAGATCTAAAACCTGCAGGACACCGCAGGGACCCCTGATCTAGATCTTGTTTTAACATACGGCAAAGAAACTGAACATTTAACAGTGTTTCCTGAAAACCCTCTCCTGTCTGATCATTTCCTGATAACATTTACCTCCTCACTACGTACGACTCTGGATACTGTAGCTCCTTTGAAAACTAAGGTCTCTAATCAGAAGTACCTGACTCCGTGGTATAATTCTCAAACACGTAGCCTAAAGCAATGACTCGTAATCTGGAGAGGAAATGGCGTGTCACAAATTTAGAGGATCATCATTTAGCCTGGAGAAATAGTTTGCTGCTTTATAAGAAAGCCCTCTGCAAAGCCAGAACATCTTACTATTCATCACTGATTGAAGAAAATAAGAACAACTCTATGTTTGCTGTTATGGTCTACAGGCCTTTTAGGGTCACAGCTTTAAACCTTTACTCAAAAAGCATCTCTAGACCCAGCAGTCTTAGCTAATTATAGGCCAATCTCCAACCTTCCTTTCATATCAAACATCCTTGAAAGAGTAGTTGTCAAACAGCTAACAGATCATCTGCAGAGGTTTATTTGAAGAGTTTCAGTCAGGTTTCAGAGCTCATCACAGCACAGAAACAGCTTTAGTGAAGGTTACAAATGATCTTCTTATGGCCTCTGACAGTGGACTCATCTCTGTGCTTGTCCTGCTAGACCTCAGTGCAGCGTTCGATACTGTCGACCATAATATCCTATTAGAGCGATTAGAACATGCTGTAGGTATTACAGGTACTGCACTGCAGTGGTTTGTATCATATCTATCTAATAGACTCCAGTTTGTGCATGTAAATGGAGAGTCCTCTTCACACACTGAGGTTAATTATGGAGTTCCACAGGGTTCAGTGCTAGGACCAATTCTGTTTACATTATACATGCTTCCCTTAGGCAGCATCATTAGAAGACATAGCATACATTTACACTGCTATGCAGATGACACCCAGCTCTATCTGTCCATGAAGCCAGATAACACACACCAATGAGTTAAACTGCAGGAATGTCTTAAAGACATAAAGACCTGGATGGCCGCTAACTTTCTGCTTCTTAATTCAGATCAAACTGAGGTTATTGTACTCGGCCCTGAAAACCTTAGAAATATGGTATCTAAGCAGATTCTTACTCTGGATGGCATTACCTTGGCCTCCAGTAACGCTGTGAGGAACCTTGCAGTCATTTTTGACCAGGACATGTCCTTCAACGCACATATTAAACAAATATGTAAGACTGCTTTCTTCCATTTGTGCAACATCTCTAAAGTTAGAAATATCCTGTCTCAGAGTGACGCTGAAAAACTAGTTCATGCATTTATTATGAATCCCCCCTTTAGTTACGCTGCAGTAGATCTAGGCTGCTTGTCCTATAGGAGATTCCCATGATGCACTGAGTGTTTCTTGTTTATTCACTTCATTTTTCTACACCTCTCTGCATTGTGTTATCATTAGTTATTATTAACCTCTGTCTCTCTTCCACAGCATGTCTTTATCCTGTCTTCCTTCTCTCACCCCAACCAATCACAGCAGATGGCCCCGCCCCTCCCTGAGCCTGGTTCTGCCGGAGGTTTCTTCCTGTTAAAAGGGAGTTTTTCCTTCCCACTGTCGCCAAAGTGCTGCTCACAGGGGGTCATATGATTGTTGAGGTGTTCTCTGTATTTGTACTAATATGGGGTCTTTAACTTACAATTTAAAGGCATTAATGAAACTGTTGTTGTGATTTGGCGGTGTATAAATAAAACTGAATTGAATAGTGATAGGTTTGATACCATCAAACAGACGAGGGGGAAGACCAGGTTACTGAGAAGTGCTTATGGGTATAATAATCTGTTCCCACCATCACGTCCACCTTGCTGCCACAATGAATGCCTGGTTTCAGATTAAAAGATGCTGATTTTTTCTCTTTTCCAAAGAAGAGAGGAAAGAGTTTTAAATAGATCTCGTCTTCCGTTCACAGATGGGAGAGCCTGACTGTTACCCTATCAGCCTGATCTCTGCGCAGCACAGAGGGAAATATTCAAACTGCCTCAGGCTGGTTTGTCTCTGCTCTGGAGGGCAAACTGTCAGGACATGTTTTTGGAATAACGATCATGAAGAAATCTTTCTACAGGGATTCTCCCAGACTGAGTCAGGACTCGGTGGGTGCATGTGGAGGCAGCCTAAGATCGGTTGTAGAGGTGCAGCGGAGAAAAGGCTCGCTTTAAGATAAATCTGATTATTAAAGGTAGATTTTCCATCATCGGCTGGCTGTGATCTCTTCACCTGTGCGGTGACAGCGACAGGTCTGGCCTTGCTCTCAGCGTTCACCTTATCTCCCCATCTCTTCCAAGTAATCGGTGGGTGGAGCTGACCCGGTGATTAAGGATGCAGCTCACCTGAGCAGGTCGGGCAGCCCTGCTGAAAGCTTTCACGGGCTCTTCTCCTCTCTGTCATGCTGGCTGGCTAATGGAGCGTTCGGTTTCTCTTTTGATTTTGCACGCACACAATCGCTCTTTGATTCTCTGACGAAGCTCGGCACTGAGCTGGAATCTGTGGGAGGATTCGGTAACGGCAGACAGGGAGGTAGATGTTTGACTTTCAGATGAAGTCATGACCCCTGCCTGGTCCCGGCTCCCCCTCCCTCTCCCTGTGTCTCTCTGGTGTGAGATACTCACTGCAAACAGTTCTGATGTGATGATTTTGAAAATGCTGCTGCTCGAGGTTATATGCTGATGGCTGCTGTACAGGAAGGAGGAATTCCTCAAATGATACTAACGAGCATCATGAGCTTAACCTGAAGCTCCAACTCCCGTCACTGCACACTGTCCAAGTTTATCCTGCACGTCTGCTGCTGTCATTGCTTTATCACATCTGTCTCTGTTTATGATCAATGCTTATCTGCGTGCTCTCACACACACACACACACACACACACACACACACACACACACACACACACACACACACACCAAAAGATGACAGAAACAGCTGTAACATCAATCAGTCTCAATTCTTCACTGCTGCCTTTAAAAACTCCCAAAATATGTGTTTTTGATGTCAGAGCTGTGATTCAGACTGGCCACGTGTGATTTAACAATACCTTTACTGGGAATGTCATCAGCGCCCCCTGCTGGTCACAGGGTTCCATTACACTCCATTTTTTCCCCTTTAACTTTGTGTTTTTGAGGAACAGGTACTATCACCTCATTTAATTTACTTTAAAAAGAGGGATTTTAAAATGTCAGCAAAATAGTTATTAATATTTTTTATCCCACTCTGCTGCTCCTCGTG